TTATGAAGAAAAGATTGACTGGATATTAGCCAGTCAACCACTCCATTCATTAATATCAAACGTCGAAACACATCCAACAATCGGTACATTAAGTGGCCACAAACCACTAACCTTCGATATACCAATTGGAACTGAACCCAAACCTGCATCTCCACGATTATCCCTTAAGTTCAAAGCAACAAATTGGCTAAAATTTAGAAGTAAATTAAATGAACAGCTAATGCTTTGGAACAAACATCGTCATATAACTTCATCATTGGATATCGAAGAATATACGTCGTGTGGGTGTGGGTGTGGGTTATTCTTCTTCACTCACCCACACCCACGCCCACACACACACCCACACCACCCACACCCACACCCACACCCACACATACGCCCACCCACACCCCCACACCTCCACACCTACACCCCCACACCCACACCTCCACACCCCCACCCCCACCCCCACACCCCCACACCTCCAGCCCCACACCCACCCCCCCACACCCACAGCCCCACACCCACACCTCCACACCCACAGCCCCACACCCACACCTCCACACCCACACTCACTGTAAAAAATCAAAATAAATGTATTAAATAAGATGAATTCTCTTTGTGTATCTGCGTTTAACATTTATTGTCGAAAATATGTAGGTTTCGTTGTTGTTCCCTAATGTGTTATCATCTGTTCGTCAATACAAAGGCGTTATGTGCTTCAAAAATTCATTCTCACCGTTCATTGAAATATTTTAATATTTGTTCAGTATTTTAAAGTTATATTCCTTGATAGAATTATCACAAGAATGGAGTATTGATAAGAATTACATGAATCGATCATGAGTAAAGACATCCACAAACAGTGGATATTGAGTAAATAACGAGCAATTCTCATATTAGATACTTAAGCGAAGCACTGGAGGATAAAAAATGAAATCAAATAAGCAATTAAGATTGATTTCAGTCGTAAGCATTTATTCTGTTTTATTGCTTTGAAGGGTATCACATTTGATTGATCTACTCTCGAGAAAACGAATGTTGTTGGAGATGTAACAACAAGAAAATCGGTCGATCATAGATTCTGGGTATTTACGACGAAAGTCCTTGGTTAATTTTTAATTCATCGAAACGAGATAGTAAGCTACATTTTGACACTTTATATGAGCACAATTCATGTTATTTTACACTTGTTCGAAAAGCTTTATCTTCAACTCTTTCAAGGTATCAATGTCGATCTGACTAATCGCTAACACTATGGTATGCAATATGAATAGTATCAATATCACTGAAATCTGAATTCATTCGATAAAAAAATATCATCGTCTGAACCATGATTTTTGATATCTTTGGAGTATCAGAATTATTTTTCAAATATGATGAATCACAAGTCGAACTTCTAGCTCCACAGACACTAATGGCTAATAATAGAACAAAAACCATACAACAACTATGAGAAAAAAAGACACATCATTCAATCTAAAGATAACCAGTTATGGGCATTTCACTCAGTTACAATAGTTCATGTAAGCTTGTTGGAGTTTTCTGCAACCAATCCAAAAAACAAGAGAACAGAGCTATGTTAGATATACATTAATGAGCAAGGCTAATCGATAAACTAATTAAATTTTACTGTACAAGAAACAAACCAAACTATTTCAAAGGTTTTTGAGTCTTTTTGTCAATTTTCGCTGAAAAAGTACCGCGAGGAAAAAGATGATTTCTTTGAGAGAAGGGGAGAGGCAAGGAACCGGGTACCTTCAATTCTAATAGTTTTTGAGACAACCATGAGTGAAGGATATGACACTCAAAAAGCTTGAAAATACAATATTTGAATAGTTTTTTCGTCCTCATAGGAAGATAGAGTATTTTGGGTATGAGCGTGAATGCGGAGTGCGTAGGTGAGTTGTGAATGGATATGAGTGTAGTGGTCAAAAGACGCACGCCAAATACCCATACCCACCTACACCCATCCTGATTAACTGCGAATCGTTCTGGAAAGGTCTAGAAAATTTCAGAAATGTTTTGACCATTAATCTTTTTGACATGGAACGGATGGACAGACAACCATATGCTCTTATAGAGGTCTGGATATAAATAGCATATGTTTTTTTGTTTCAGTGTCATTTTATATATAGTTTTTGTTACCTCGTGATAAACTATGACTCTTGCATGAACGAAAAATAATTAAGTTTGTGCTTCTTCACTTTGTCTAATTATTTCATCTTCGTCGTTCGCTCTTTGCAAGAAGTAGTTGGACAAAGCTCTCCGAATATGTCTTTCATCTTCCCTCAATCTATTTAATACTGCATTATCGTTACGAAAGTGTTGGCGTACTTGTGGTATGTGATAAAAACCAAATAATAATAATTTTAAATCAAGTTCAGCGTATAAGAATGGTTCATCAATTTTGTCTCTATAACGTGCCGTCCATGTAGTCCAATATTCTTGATCTTCAACTGATGAACAAAAAATGTTGATTTTTCGTAGTTGTGGCGTGTTATTGAAATATAAGTTTATAGTCAGCCATTGCATATTGTTTTCATAAGTAAATAATGTGATCATTCTTTGATTATTCATGTCGATATGATTTTGACACGCTGTTGTATTCTGAAAAGGACGAATGTATGGCATCAGATGAGCATTAGGTAAGAGAATAGCAATGTGTGTTCCTCTCATCTCGTAAAGTAGGAGAGCCCAAACTCTAGCCAGCGGATATATAGTATTATCAAATATAATATCGTCGACAGTTTGCATCTAGAATGAAGTGGAATTGAAAAGCAATATATATTTAAACAACAGAAAGAAGACGCTTATTTTGATCATTTAAAATTCAGAATCAATATTACAAAGTTTATGTGCTTTCATGAACATGTCTTTAGCTGTTTTTGCATCATGCGTTTTACTACACTCGGTACCTAATCTGTTATAATGAGCAATAAGATCGTGTGTTAATCGAGAACAAAGATCATCATAATTATCGATAATGGCTTCATTTTCTAATGATGATTGCCCATAACGACCGACAACTTTGACATTTGGAAGTTGTTGAAAATCAACGACAACTGATTCCTCATAATCAGCATCAATAATAAGAAATATGTTACCAACGACTTCATGTTCGAGCAAATCTTTATGACAGTCAAACAGACTGTCAAACACTAAAAAAGATGAAACGCCTTTGGAAAACAGGTTTTTTACTTTTTCCACTTCAATATCATCTTGTAATTTTGATTTGAGCCAGACGAGTGTTGTTATTGTACAAATCGTTGTGTCGGTGGTAATATTACGAGCAAAAAGCCTTTGATGTATTTTCTTCAATTCGATATGAATTCGATTGGCTTGTTCTTCTTTTATTTTCGCTATTGATGGATCACCATATTCTGAATATTCTCTTGCTTCTTTTTCATAACATCGATATATTTCATCAGCCAATTGACAAATTATATCTTCATCAGTAGCAAATCGTTCTCGATTATCAACTTTATTTTTATCATACTCCAGAATAAAAACTGTTTCAACTTGTTCAGGTTTGTTTTTCATAGTGGCGGCAAATTCGCTACTTACGAAAAGAAAGGTGGCCTTCTTAGGCAGTTCACCAAAGTTAAAGGCTGAGCTATTTTTGAAACTAAGTATAGAATCTTTTGCCAATGAACACAAAGTGTCTAGCATGGCGGAAGCTAGTTCATTCAAACGTGTCGACAAGTCGATAAGAACAAATTGAAAAGTAGTGGAAGAAGCTAAAAGAAACTATAATGTCCCTGTCATCTAATTATTTATGATTAGGCATGCACTGAATCCGAATTTATCGAGTTTGATCATTTTTGGCCCCGAGAATCCCACATTCATTCATTCACTTAATTGCAACAACAATAATCAACAATAAAGAGGACAAATACATAATTAGACAACCAAATTTCAAATTGTTGACACGTTGTCAATGGATAATGATCATTTAAATTGGAATCTGTATATATCTTCGACAGTATTTTAGACAGGGGTGGACCAATTTTTTTACTGAGACTTTATTAAATCAAGCGTTAAGAAGCTTTTCTTAACCGTTAATATTAACTAAAAGTCAAACAATTGAGCTTTTATATTTCATTTGAATACAGGAAAAATTCAACGAATAATTCATCTCATTTTGTCGTTTCCTCTTTAAACAAATTACTCATACTGAACTCGACAAATTGAGGTTTCTTGAATATCAAATCTTCATAAACTATGAATTATGTATTGTACTCTCTATTATTCATTACTGTTGTTGCGCCTAACTAAATGACTGAATCCAGTATTCTCGGGACCAAATTCGATAAGTTCGGACTCGGTGCATGCTCAATCAGAATAAAATTGGATCATTGCTTAGCATTGTGGCTTATCAAAGTTTGTAATTTCCTACTGTTTATAGCATATATTTTGCACAGACAGCAGATAACAAAGAGAATATAATGCGCGAAGCAGATTAAATATACAGTGTATTAATAATGTCCGTGTCTGACGAACAGTTAAACAATAGAGAAAGCTAATATGGAATCTTTAGTCTATGAAGTTTCTTGTTCACGGATCGACGGCAAAAGAAAGAAATTTTATGGAAATAAATAGTAAAAACAACTAAAAAATGGGTTCTTATATCATTACTATGGTGGCCTGGAGGCAAATATGACTAATCGAGGTGTTGATTTGACTGCTATAAGGTCAAATAAATGGAGTATTACTCATGGTAGTTTATCGATCAGCCCCATCCAGACTGATCGTTTAGATCGGTACTGGCCTCAGTAACGAAAATACCTATCGGTTCCAACTCTGTTTTTGGTGGTATCTAATAAGTAACAGACAGAAGACAATGTTTATGCAACTTCTTATTGTAGCAGTTTCGTAGCTCTAGAAGATTGCTATTGATGCTGAAAAAATAGTTCCGATTCCGAACCAAACAGTGGAGAATGACGGTGTGGGTCCCGGGTGTAGGTATTGTTACTCTCCTCACTCTCACCTACACCCATATCGCACCCACACCCACACCCACGTATATTCATTGAATTACAGATTTTCTGAAACTGTAGGTAATGCACTGTGATGAGAAAATTAAAATATTCATAACTCTTGAAAGAAGTGTCGCGAAGCCAAATCCTCTCAGTCGTATAATTACGACGCGGTGTAGTATTTACAGAAGAAGTTTCATTGAAATTTGTGAGGGCACCTGGAGGAGTTTTCTCGTGAACTTTATCTTGGCAGATGAATGTGAAAGTATTGTAAATGCGTCATTCTTAATTAGCAAAGATTTATTGCAATTGATCAAAAGCTGCCTACAATTACATTGATTTTAGTAAGCGTAAGCGATTAGAAACCATTCAAAAAAGAAGCGTTTTCTGTCTGCTGAAGGGTATTTTTGCGAGAAATAGCCTGCTACTATTGAAAAGAGCAAACCAAAAGTATTTGGTCTTTGCCAGAAACGGAAGGTTTAGGAATGTATAGATGTGGCATTACGAGAAAATATTACAAGATTTAATATTATTTTTGTTTGTCGTGTGTACCTTGCTTTTTGAAAATGACAATTAAGACATTTTTTTTCTATTTGAACTTAACAATTAGAAAAAACGGGAAAGGGACATTTCGCACTAACTTTTCATTACGATCTCCAGTAACATATGTTCGTTACGATCACCTGACATAAGAAAAAAGACAGGGTGTTCGAAATGACAAAAAACAATCAAAAATTTTAAAAAGCAGGGAGTTCGTAATGAAAGTTGTCCAGATGATCGTAACGAACAGCCATGGTCGAGTTTGATAGATAAAACCTTGAAATTTGACTGGAGTTCGGATTGAAAATGACCGGGAGATCGTAACAATAAAGACATTGAGATCGTAATGAAAGTTAAGGCAAATAAGATAGTGAATGTTTGGAGATCATAATGAAAATTTGCAAGGAAATCTTAATGAAAAAAGACAGATTGTTCGAAACTGTTCATGTTTGCTCTTCTTTGGGAGATGTGAAGTGATTCACTAGTTTTTATTATAAGATGGTACACACAGAATGTCATAATGAATTCAAGTAGTCAATATTTATTTCGATTGTTGTTACTACTGTCAGTCAAGTGCTTGTATTTATCATTATTATTCCTTATATGCATACGCTTTTTATTACGACCACCATGACTTTTGAAAGAAAAAAATGTGCTTAATTATTTTTTAGATGAATGAATCCTATTTTTCATGATAAGAAAGAAAGGAGGAAAAGTCTTTACAACCGTTACCAATACCAGAAGGAATCCGTTACGACTTTCTAGAAAATCGCATAATGAACTCTCGATTAGCTACATTACGATCTTCAGATCTTTTCCTATGAAAAAATATCCTTAGACTTTTATTCCGAACACCCGGTCTTGCTCATTCCCAGCTCCGAACACTAAATTACACATAGTAATGAGCATGCCATTAAGAATTTCCAGTCACACTCTTCTGATCACCCTGTTTTTTTCAATACGATGTCCCGTCAAAGATTTTTAAGGATAAACATAATTTCCGAACACCCGGGCATATGATCGGAGTCCGGAATGACTTAGTGCGAAATGTCCGTCACCCAAAAAAACGAATAACCGCAAATTCAACTTTCCGTTGAAAGGACAAAATGAACATTAAGTTTGTCGCTCTAATGTTTTACAGTAACTATCAAAGTCACAAAGAACGAATGTACTCCGGACCCAAGCCAGCATGAAAGATATACATTTCATTTCGTTACAATTTTGCTATGTCAATGATTTTCCTGATGTAACCGTACCAAGCCCTGTCCTAAGGATATAAAAGTCATTCTTACATGCTGTTTATAATACAGGTTAATACCTAAGCTTATTTCTTGAGAGACTTATTTTGAATTTCTTGAAAGCAGAAACTTACCATCTGTGGGAATACGTGGCAAAGCGTGTTCTTTGACATATTCCAGTGCTTTACGATCAAATTCAGAACTATGGCCCATATATTCACGAGCGAGTTCTAAAAATATGCAAAATAAATTTACGAAGGTTAAAAGAACAGAACGAACGAATAGATGCAGCAAAAAGAATGTCAGGCTTGTCGATATGTCGTACAACGTGTCTAATAACATGAACTAAAATTGTTGTATATCCCAATGTGCCATGTTTTTCTAATATTGCAGGACAAAATCTACCTAAAGAAAAAACACAAATATCAATTTTATTTTTTTCTAAATTATTCTTGCCATCCACTGAAACATTTGGATGATAAATTGGAGTAAGAAACCTTACTTCCGGTGCATCAAATGGAAACCGCGGTGGTAGTCTTATTTCAATTCTAAATGCACCTTCTCTATATATTTCTGACTCTGGAAATATTCGTCCAATAACTACCATTTCTTTTTGGTTCGAGAGAACAGGTGCTTCTATTTCATCTTCGTCATCAAATGGTGATTTCTCCAGTACAAACTTGGGATCTGTAGTTGCGTTCAGCAATTTCAATCGACATATTTCGGTGTACAGATATTTGCTTAATCTTAGCATTGACATATTATTTTTCAACCTAAATTATGCGAATAGCTAAATAATAATATTTGAAATTAGAAAAAAAAAGCAAAAGAGCAATTCGTTTAAAGAAGTACCAGACGGGAAAATATTCTGCTCATTTTGTTGATAGACAAGCTGAAAAGCTTAAATTGCACTTCTCGAATTAATTCACCTTTTACTTGCTTTGTAATTCTTATGTAAAATTGTGAAAAATAAAAGTTGACTGCTTACGATAACTGCAACAATGTTTTTATATAGGTTACGTTCTGTTTCTCTCCTGAGGCAAGAAAGAAATGAAAAAAAAATACTTGCAATCGACAGAAAGGAAGAAAAAAACATGCTCTTTTTGTTGTCGCTGAAAACTTATATACTTATATTTAAAAAAACCAAATTACTTGATCGTATCATTCTAGTAGTACAGGAAGAAAAGACTTGGTGTTCATAGAACTCCTTATATAGAGTAGTAGTGAACTTTATATGGTCTGATGAAAAAACTTCACCGATCAAACTAGGTTATTTACGATACAAGCCTTTGTGTTCTGTAGAAAAGTGCTCGGTAGAGAACGTGTGTGAGCAGTTTACGCAAACCTATTTGCATTGGAATATTCTAATTCAAAAAGTATTTTTAATCTCTATGAAAAATGGTTGAAGAGTACTACTTGTTTTTTGATTCAACCAAACATGTTCTTTATATATACATATATGCATTGCTCTTAAACTCCTCTGATCATTTCGGTCTCTAAAGGACGTGGAAGATACAATACCTAAAACATTGAAAGCAAATAGAAAGACGATCAGAATGCAACAGAAGGAAAGAGAAAGAAAAACACAGAGAAAGAGAAGGAACGAGAAAGAAAAAGAAAGAGAAGGAAAGAGAACGAGAAAAGTCATGAAGGGTGAGGTGTGGACTTGGATTTGGTTGTGTCGGTGTGGATGGCTACGTAAAGGTAAGAAATCTCCCTTTGCCAATTGCTATATTCACGCCAACACCCACACCAACTCAACCGTACCAACATCCTTCACTTTGAAATTATTTCAAAAGTTAAAGAAAAAAAAGAAAAGAATTCTTATTTTAGATTAATTCAGTGCTGTGCCTTTTACAAACATCATGAAGACAAGATAAAAAAAGAAGAAGAAAGTTTCATTGAATATCACCCCGTGTCATCAAAATCGTGTTACGTTTGGCGATTAATAGCGATATCCAAAAAAATCGACGATTAATCGCGATTCATTTGCGATATTTCGAATATCACAATAAATCACCATTAATCGGCGATTCTGCAACAAATTTCAGTAACAATACTAATTTAAAAAAAATAAGTGTTTTTTTTTCGTTTATTTTAAATCGTCTCAATATCTTAATAAACGGTAAGTATAAATTTATAAAAATATACTTTTTTCTTTTTTTAGTTTATTACAACATCTCAATAAACGGTAAGTATTATTCAATAAAAATAATTGTGTTCCTTTATTGAGGTCATGTGGTCATCATAATGAACGGATAAGTGCCATTGAATAAGAATTTGTTCTTTTCTTTTACTTAGACCGTCGGATCATCTCAATAAAGTGTAAGTATTATTTTATCTAATTTTTTTCTCCAATAAATTGTCTGAACACCTTAATTCACAGTAAGTATTTTGTTATAAAAATTACTATTTTGTTTTATTTAGATCGTATGATAATCATAATGAGCGGTAAATATTAAATAATAAAAATAAATATTGTTCTTTTATTTAGGTCATCTCAATGAAGGGTAAGTGTTATTTTAATAGAATACATCTTTTCTCTTTATTTAAATCGTCTGGTCATCTTAATAAACAGTAAATATTGATTCATAAAAATAAATAGTTTTTTCTTTTATGTAGGCCATCACAAGGTACTACTACACTTTAGGCACAATGTATATATCTAAGAACAGAACAGAAAAAAAATGTGATTGGTGAGAAATTGATCATCTCATATAAAAAAAATCGTACAGCCACTAACATAATATAGCACTTCTGAA